AGAGTTCCTTTTCAATAGGCATGGAAACTTACACAGGCTATTCATTTGATGGGAAGACTAGGAACACAACAAATGAAATTCAAATGGTTTTTCTACTCCTGTACAAATGCAACCAGTTAGTTTGACTATGTCTAAGAAAATTCTGGTCTCCAATAATATATGCAGAATTGAACAAGTTTTATGTAGAATTAACCAATCCAATTAAATGAAAAACATTTATTTTGTGGATAATTCTGCATAAATCAAATTATTCCTTTCATCATTTTTTTCTTTGTTTGATAAGTAATTACCACGATTTTATTTTTGTTTTTTGTTTGGGGGTTTGGTTTTGGGTTGTTTTTATTTTTTTATTTTTTGGGGTTTTTTTGGCTTTGAGACAGGGTTTCTCTGTGTACTTTGGGCTAGCCTTGAACTCACTATGTATGTAGCCCAGGCTGGTCACAGATGCATGGCAATCCTCCTGCCTCAACCTCTCAAGTTCTGGCATTGCAGATGTGAAATACCACACCTGACAATTTTTTTTTTGAGACAGGGTCTCACTATGTAGTTCAAACTACATTTGAACTTACTACATAGCCCAGGCTGGCCTAGAACTCACAATAATCTTCCTGACTCAGCCTCCCAAGTGCTAGAATTACAGGTGTTCATCACCATGCCCTGAGAACTACTACTTGAAAGACCCAGGACTTGCTACTTCTAGGAATGCCAAGATGAGTAAAACATAGTCTTTTCTTTCAAAGGGATTATAGTCTAATGCAGGAGATGGATCAGATATACATGTAAATATAATACCAGAGAAAAGGTAAAAACATGTTTTAAGAAAGACATACATCAAACAAAGGGAATTGGAAAGAAGGAGATATTTTTCTAGGTAGGAAATGGAAGGCAGCTTCACATTGAGTTTGGCATTTGTTTTGGACTGAAGACTATAGAAGGGCCAGAGGGCACTGCAGACAAGAATGGTAGGTGAATGGCACTCAGACCATGAGCGCAGAGAACAGCAAGGGCACATGGAGCAGTCTAGGGCCAGTTCCATGCAGAGCGGAAGAAAGAAAGGCAAGCGAAGTCAGAACAGAGAGAGCCTGGGCTGTGGGCTGAAAATTCATAATAACTGAATGGATGAATTCAGAAAGGCCTGGAGGCTACATAAGGAACATAGCATCCACTACATAAACTTACCGATTATACAAATATACTGTCACTAACATTACTTAGGTACAATGGGGTAAATATAGCATAGTTTAACTTGGGGCATGAAGTTATGATCTGTTTTATAATGAGTGATGGCCTCAAACGGATTTTAAGAGGTACCAAAAAACGTCAAATGAAACGAAGTAAAATTATATGGCTCTGTGTTTACAGTTGTCCTTGTCATACAATAGGAGGTGGAAGAGGAATGAGAAACAGACAAATACGGGAGTAGGATGTCTTGAAATGAAGAGGAATTGATTTTATAACTCTATGGTTTTAAAATCACTGTTTAGTATACTGAAAAACAGAACAACAATTTTCTGGTTAATTTTGCCAGGTAGCAGCCAGGCAATCAGATAGCAAAATGAAAATGTTTCAATTGGCCAGCAGGTGGCACTTGCCACTCAGTATAAAAAAACAGCAAGTAAAGAATGAAACTGAGAGGGAGTTAAGTACAGATTACTCATTCATCTATTCAGAAGGAGAAAGACTGGAATGGGCTGTTCCAACAGCACAATTTTTAGTGAGGGTCTGGGTTTATCGACACAGATTGTCAATTACATAAAGGGTAATCCCTTTATAAAATGTACCACAGGTGACAGGTCTTCAATATCAGCTCTCCTATTAAGTTTACTGAACTTAGGTATGTCTTTTAACAAATATAATTTCCAATGTATCAGTTTGCTATGGAAATTGGTATGGAGATTCCTCAAAAAACTAAAACTAGAGGTTCCATTTGACCTAACTGTGCCCCTTCCAGGCATCTTCTTGAAAGAGTTAAAAGCATACCACAGTGATATATATACAAACTCATGTTTCGAGCAGTTCAATTTATAATAGCTAAATCTTGGGAAAAGCCCATATACCCATAAACAGATGAATAGGATAAGAAAATGCATATTCATATACAATGGAGTACCACTCTGTTATAAAGAAGGATAAACTTGAGACATTTTTAGGTAAGTAGATGTACCTTGAGACCATAATCTTAAGTGAAATAAGTCAGACACACATTGTATTGTTTCAGTAGAAACAAGGAATAAAATGGAGGATAGATATTAGGAACTAGGAATAAGTTGTTCAATGGGAAGGGGAATAAGAAGTGGGGGAATGGGGAGGGAAAGAAGGGAAAAGGGGTTTAAAGGAAAATGGAAATAGAGCTTTTGTAAATGGAGATGGGAGGGAGGTTGGAGGAAAGGAAGGGGAAGGGTAAAAAGAAGAATTAAGATGTGTTATGTAAATGTACAAATCTCCTGTGGTGTTATCATTATGTATTGGAAACATGTAATAATTTTTTAAAAGATTTAAAAAATAAAAACTAGCCCATTCTTGATTTTCTAGTGTTATCTAGCACACATGTGAATCGGGCCTACACTGAGCCTGAGCAGAACAAATGCTGCTTTTCCGGCTTTCCCGCCCTTACTTGGATGACATTCTGCAAACACTTCTTTCAAAGGGCAGCCAAGGAAGCAGAGCGCTCAGCCTCAACACGGGGTGGCTTTGAGGTTGTTTCTGATGTCAGGCAGGTATTGCCAAAATAGAGCTTTTGAACACTTTCATGCTGAGTTGCACTGTTTTTAAAAGATAGATGCATATAAACTCATTAACTTAGCACATAATTTAAAGATTGGTTCCACAAAGCAACAAATCAGGGCTCATTTCCAAGTCTTCCTTTATGTTCATCTTCTCAGCTGGAATCCTCTATCGGTTTCCTTCTATTTACCCCGAGTAGACTTCAAAACACAAGTTCAGGGCCACTCCTCTACAAAACTTTTTTGAAGCTACCCTCACTTTTGCCTTATAATAAACTTCTATTGTAGTTTTTAGTACGGTCAGACAAGCATTGAACAAATACTCTCTTAGAGTGGTTGCTAATCTTTAAGTAACTGTTAGACTTGGTCCACAAAGAGACTGTATATTATCTGTAGGGATATTTTATGTACTGATTCAACAACCACAACTGAATACACAGTATAAGCCAAATACTCTTTTAGGTTATATGGAATCACAATGAGTAAAACCAAGACTATTCCTGCTGTCCGGGAGCTAACAGAGTACTACAGTTACTCTGAACTCATCAAATTGCCTGTCCTGGAACAGACCCCCGGGCAAGTATGTGCTCAGTGTCCATCTCAAAACTAACCAACTGACTAGGGTTGGTTCCATTAAGAGCACTGAGACCTGGAAAGCATTTTAAAGATTTTCAGACCATTTTCACAAATAGATTTTGTAGATTTTTTCTTTCACCAAAGGAAAGGGGGAGATAGTAAAGATTTTTACATCCTTTGAGTTAATGCCAGTAAATTTCTATCTATGTACAGCTAAATTTCTTTGTTACTTTTGACATGAACTGAATCTATAACCATGACTTAAATTTTTATAGAAAATTCAACTATACCATTAAAAAGAATGAGCAGAACTGGAGCCCCTAGTTTGTAAGTCCATCAGATGCCATCAAAATCTCTATCATAAGAATGAATAATATATCCAATTCTAAACAAATAACAAGATAATCAGGTCATTGTGATTGGCACTATTAATATCCAAGAGTCAGCTCTGACATCTATAGGAAAGAAAAAAAAAAACACCCAGAGATGGCCAAAAAGAAAATCAATTCCAGATGTATTAACTACCTTCACAAAACTACAAGGAGTAGTAAACAGAAAAGAAACAAAACAAAATTAAGATGTTCCAGAATGGAAAAGTCTACCTACTTGCTTATTTATTATAATGAACATACCTGTAATAACTTTACTTCTGTCTTCTGTTATCAAAAGAACAAGTAGAGGGTCTACAAACAGTAGAAAGTTGAGCTACTTTTTGGATATGTGGGTGGGGGTACTTAAAAGAATGGGCTTCCAAAGTTATTCTTAGTGTCTTTCCTAGAGAGACCAAGACTGCAGGCTGGAAGACGAGGGTCAGGAATCTGTGTTATCTCAGGTGATGGGTGACTTGCAGTTCAGATGCCTATCCAGGTAGTACAGGTAAGGAGATAAAACTCTACCTCATAAAAGTGCAGGAATACACGTGACAATGCGTCAAGGTTGAGGGTCTTGACTCCCATTCCTCCGGTGAATTTTCTATTCTAATGAGTGTTTTATTTCCTCACAGTTATAGCAAGTGAATACATTTGGACATTCTCTGCTGGCTTTCTCAAGAGCTATCTGAGGAAGCTGACAGGTTATATGTAAAGTTAAACATGTTGAATTTGGGTGTTAAGTCTATAAACAGAGATCTAATCACTTTCTTATTTAAGAAAATAAAACAGTGTTTTTTACATGCCACATTTTCTTTCCCTGGAAACTATCATGTTTTCCTGTTTATTAATAGTAAATGTCTTATTTATTGAGTTTTCTTAACCGCTAAACAGGACTATGGCTTTCTTCATTAATACCTTCTAAAGAACACTTTGTGTCAAGGAAGAAACCCAATGAACTGAAAACAGACTCTCCTTTAGAGTCATGCAGACCTGTTTTCCCATCATGGCCATGCGACTTTGGAAATGTAAGCTGAGTTCTACAAAGCTCTAGGTGCAGCTTTAGAGTAGAAGTAAATGTTCCTTTTGCTTATATGCATTGTTGTGTACCTGGCTTAGATATCACAGCGAAGAACTTTGTATAGAACTCTCTTCCCTTCTTTCAATTCATCCTCTAGAATACATTGTAGATTCAAAATGAAAGGAAAATGGCAAAAAAGAAGGGCTAAAAGGCTATTCATTTTATTTGGGTAAGCTAGATTACTCAGTTATACGTATGAAACCAAGAACTGAACAGTCATAGTAGAATTTGGAAAAAATAATTACAGCTCACCTGTGCCTGCTGCTCAGCCAATTTATTTTGATACCTCTGGATCGACTCTCTAAGTTGCTTCTCTTTCTCACTTCTTGATGGTGATACCAAGTTCAAGGTGCCCAGGGGGATGGTAGGTAGACGTTCCGTATCATGACAACTTCACAATTAACAAGAAAAGATTAGTATCAGGAGAAAATACAAAGCTACCTGCTGTCTATAAAAAATGATTTGCTTCTACAAGGAATTGCATTATCTGTTACATATCCAAAAAAATCAAATACAAAAGATCATTATACTGATGACTTTATTATCTCCAATTTGAATGTGAAAGAGATAAATGAGGAACGTGGAGGATAGTACATAGTTATCAATATGGAATATTATTTATTTTGCCAATTCTTTACTTATCCTATATTATAACCAAATGAAGTATTTTATAAAAATGTTTTTTGATCACCAAGGCTTATCTCATTACTGCCAAACATTCCCCCCCCGAAACTGGGGTAGAACTCTACACATTTCTTTAGAATATATCAAATAACTCTGCCTCTAACACACATAGATCCTTTTTTTGGTGACTTAGCTTCACTGACAAGGCCAGGACTAGGTGCTGCAGTACCGAGTGAGGCCTCTTGGTACTGAGACTTGTACAGCAGCCTCACCAAACCTCCTGATGACCTCAAATGCACCATCCCTCCCCACTGCAGGCAAAGCATCTGGCCTTGGGAGTAACTCTGGTTCCCAGCCTTGTATATTATATAATCATGTAGAACCACATGTAAATAAATGAACAAAAATCAGGCTATGGATATGGATAAGCACTTTCCTCATTATAGTTGTAAAAAATACTGACTTAGAGATGCATGGTTATAAGGTTTGAGGTCATTGTTTTTTCTCCTACTCTTATTTTCGTGACTATGGTCTTAGGAGCTGAGTTAGTCAAATTGCTAAAACGGGTATCATTTGCCCACACTGCTATCAGGGTTTGGAATGGATAAGAAGTTTAACTCCCGCTGGGCCCAGCTCTAATACCCCCAATGGAGAGGAATGAGGGCTACGATCCGATTCAAATACTACTATGAAAAAACATTTCCACCACATATAGTGTTTGCTATTATTGTTGCATTCAAAAAAAGGTGTTAGGTAAACAAATCCTAGCAACAACTACTCTATAGACAGCTGCCTGTAGTGTGGATTTGAAAACATCTGTAAGGTGATATCTATACAGACCTTTTCTTCATTTGAAAAGAGAAAAAAATCAGAAAAGAGAAACCTTTCTTATCAAAATGCTTTCCATTCAATTTTCTTCACTTAAAGGTTTTTGGAAATAAATTTGAATTTTAATATGTAATACAACCTGTAGATATTTTTTAACATCCTTTTCAAAATCTGAACATTTTTTATTCAGGCAAGAAACAGGCATCATTTTTACCCTGCTGGTGAACCCTACTTTCAATGCAGAGAAATGCATAGCGTAGATGTAATGGAAGTATACCAATCCCTATTTCTCAGTACTGTGAAAAATGTGTAACCTCCCTCTGTGCTCAAGCGAAAAACAAAAAAAAGGTCTCAGAGTCTGAAACTGAGTAACTCCATTCTACCATGTCCAGATAACTGACCCTGAAAACTACTATTTGTAAAATGGTATATTTTGGTCACTAAAAAGTATTTAAATGAAATTGATCTTCCTGAAATGTAACAGCATGCCTTTGATAGACACTGGTCAGAAAGAGGACAGGTTTTGTATCAGACTCTTGGCTTCCAGTTTGGGGCCTTAGAGAGGAATTCTGGGCAAGTTACTGAAATCTTCTTATCCTGTTTTCTCCTCTGAGAAATGGGGAAAGTTCATAAGGCTTTTGTAAAGTGAGAATGGCATAACATGCAACTGCTGTAGAAGAGGAAGCTAATATGTTTCTGGCCCAAGTTCTGGTTACAAAACATTGTTCATTCAAATGCTGATAATTGGCATTAACCCTGTTGGAAACTGGCAATTATCTGCTGGCAACAAACTATTTTCTGTAAATATAGTCAATGCCACTTATCACCTCACTACTCTGTGCCAGTAGTCATAGAATATTACCTAATAAATAAGTATATGTCTGTTCTCATCATTTAATGAATTTTTTCTATGTGATCTTCTCCAAATCTAATGTACAGACATCTCAGGATGTATACAAAGGCAGATTCTTTAGGGATGCAGGGCCCAGCCTATAGCACTGATTCAGAGGACAGAGAGGCACCACATAAATTCTCCTTCTCACTGGAACTCACCCTATGGACACCCCTGATTTCCCCACACAGGAAATGCCAACTCCCAATTAAATGCTGAAGTAATTATGAGGGCATTTTTTTATATCTCCCTATACCTCCTACTGTCAGGTTATGCATATTTTTGTCATAATCTTTTGAGTGGAAATTAAATACAGATGGTCACTATTATGTCAGTGTATTTGATGATTCAAGACTTAAGAAAATTATAAATAATCACTTTTTGCATTTTAGAGTTTTAGGTCCATCAGTTTTCTGTCAACACAACTAAATTTGTCTTGCTTCTTCTCACAAGTCACATGATTTTGATGTGTAAAAGACAGAACAAATGTAGCTTTGAAACTAATTCTACAATGTTCTGAAACACTATCATTTATTTTCAAGGAAGAGGGTGGAAGTGTGTCAATACAAAGACAATGACAAACTGAAAATAAAGGATGCTAGGAAGGGCAGCTTCCCAGTTCTGTTGGCTGACAATTCTCCAGAGTAGTCTAAGGAATCATAGGTATATGGTTAACTCTGTGGGGAGCGCCTACATTCCAGTGACTTGTCATTGGGGGATCCTCAGACAACAAGAAGTTTCAGCAGATTGTCTGACAAGGTGTCCAGCTGGACCCAGAGAAGACAAATCAAGATACAAGCACAGCACTCCATTCCAGGGGATGGGAAGCTGAGGTGAAGGGCAGTTACTCCTTTGCCCTGGGTTTCACTGCTGGTAGAGTGAGGGTCAGACCCAGGTGCTATGGCCCCAGAGTCTGGATTCTAAACACCATCCTAAGCTATTTAAAAAGCTCTTGGCTCACATTAAGTAATTAATATTATTAACTATTTTTAATATTGAGAATGAGCCAATGTTTTGTTGATGTTAAAAGATACTCAAGTCCAAAATTAGGGGTAGAATCAGGTTTGTAGTTAGAAGATCTCAACCAATGTGCCACAAACAGGTTTCTAAGTCCAGATACAGGTTTTAAATCTGACTTTCCTAAAATGAAGAACTGAGACTGAATTAGTTGTTTTATAATCCTGCTTCCTGGAGCTCTGAGCACTTTGCAGCCAGTAAGGAACAGAAATGGGAAGTGACTATCTTTGGTTTTCAGCCTTCAATTCAATGAGGACAGTTCTACATTTATCTGTTTTACATATTTCAGTTCTGTGACAAATTTTATTTGGGAAATACACAGATCATGTTGTTAAAAAAAAAAGTAGAAGAAGGAAGGAAGAAAGGAAGGGAGGGAGTGAGGGAAAGAAGAAAGGGGGGGAGGGAGAGAGAGAGAGAAGAAACAAGCCCTGGACCACGAGAAATGTAAGAACTGAAACCCCTGACATTTTTCTTCAGTCTCTAAATACAATTAACCTGGAGACTCCAGGCAGAAAGTGCTTAATAGCAGTTTCTGAATTTTTTTTGCTCTCTTTCTTCAGAGCTGGATAAAAATAACCAAACAGGAGTTATTACCCTAATGCCTATATTAACAATATTGAACCACTTATCCTCCAGCCCAAAGGATTTAGAACAGACTGCATGAAAAAGCAATGCTGGGGTTAGGGATGCCTTTGTCAAAGGGTAGTAGTAACTCTTTTTCCTCTGGGGAAAAATATTAATCTAAAAGAGCTTGTAATACCATTGACATCCATCAATATTTAATCAGTGTTTTTCCTGTTCTAGTCTGGATGTCTTCCTTCAGGAGCATAAAGCAATGGAATCAATACATGATTTACACAGAAAAAAACCACGTGGTCTAACAGTTTGATGTCCCCAGATTCACCCTCTGAATCACACTCCTGTACAACCAGGCTGTATGTTGTGGGGAAATGAACTGGAAGGCAGAGCTCAGGAGACCATGAGCTCCTGCCAGCGGAAGTGCAGATCATACATCCAAATCATCTATCTGATGGAAAAACACACTATGAAAATAGTATTTTCACTCAACAAGAGACTAGAAAGAGTTCAAAGAGATCCCAGTTACACAGCCACTTGCTATAGGCAACATTTTCCACTTCCACAATATGGACTGTAGGAATTAAAAATGGATAAAGAGCTTTCATAAAATCATCAAAAATTACCTGCTTTCCAAGTGGTTAGGATTATTAGCACAAATCCAAGTGTCAAGAAATTCTTCTTTCTGATAATTGGTAGAGGAAGACAAAACTCTCCATTTAAGGCAAAGATCTGATCATCGAAACAAAATTACACACAATAGAGACCACAATCAGAAATGAATCTCTCAGAGTAGGAAGTCACCTTGCAAATACCCAAAATAGCAAATCTTTCATTGCTTGCATACTATTATCTTTGATGCAAACTATTCCAGGTTTCTATATTCTATGATTCTACATCCCACCAAGAAACTATTGCTATTATTATTAATTATTATTATTATTATTCCTTCAATTCCCTCCAGTTGGTTTCTGTTACTTTTAAACAAAAGAATATGAAGTAATAGATTCCACTCTCCTTCTTAAACTACATTATGAATTCCAGTACCTGACTCTCCTTTTCCCCAGCCTTGTACCTGTCTGCTGACAACACCACTCTCAGTTTCCAACCACATGACTAATGTAAGAAGGAAAATCAACATTTTCTTCTGCTGCTCTTTCGTCTGCTTTTAACCTAGTCACCAGTCTATGGTTTTGGACTCCTTTGTCCATTTTTTTTTCAGTGTCTCCTGGCCTTTAGGCCCAAGGCACACCATTCTCTCGAGGTTACAATGGGATTTGATCCAAGATTCAATATGAACACAGCGCTGCTAGCTCTCGGATGAATAGCCTGCCTCTTACCACCTCTATGATCGGGGACAAATAACTTGTCTCTCTCAATTTCATCACATTCATCTGTAAAATGATTAATACTAGTACTTGTTTAAAAAAGCTATTTGAGGATAATAAGGATGAAAACTAACATTGCTAGATATTTTCCTATGCATTTAGTAAACTTAATTTATTAATAATTAATATTTATTAATTCATATTATGCTCACAGTAATTCTACAATATAGCTACAGAAAGTAGTCTCATTCCAAAGTGTGGAAATTGAGTATCTGAGAGATCAAATAATTTGTCCTGTTTCATGTAGCTCTCAGGTACAGGAGATCAGAGTCTAGCAGTACCCAGCAGACATCAAAAAAAAAAACAACCCCACAAAGTAATTGATAGCCATTATCATTACCACCCAATAGGTTTTTGCATACTGCCAATCAATTTCCTCAATCATATCTTCAAAACATCTGTCATGCATGTTCCTCTTAAACCTCATTGTAATGCATTAATTTGGACGCTGAAAATTTTTCACTAGACCTTAGATCACAACAGCAGCATACCCTCAGAGGTCTGACCCTCCTTTTGTTTTGGCCCTTCCCCAAATCATCCTTCCTGGAGTGGCCTTACTGCAAGCTACTGCTGACTGGTCAGGTCGTCCCTGCAAGGCACCCAAGTAAAAGGCTGGGCAGGGGCTCCTCCAGCACTGTAAAGATGCCTATAAGGTCTTACACTGCATAGGGGACTTTTTTTGTTTACTTGTCTGGCTTATTCCCTGGACTGTTACAGAAAGAAGACTGTCTTTAATTAGATAGCCCTTTACATAATGGCCAGAAAATATAAGAAATGTTCAATGACACAATGATGTTATTTTGCTGTTGAAATGTGTCCAATACCTCCCTATTGTTTATCGAAGTAAAACCTCATCCTAGAATTCAAAGCTTCTAACATATATACCCAAAATAATATTTTTGTCTTTTATTATTTATTCATTCATCAATTTAAAAATTCCTACTATGTATTAGACACAGTGTTACATACTAAAGACAGAAAAATGACCTTTTCTATTTTTCTACAACAAATATTTTAGCTGAAGTATACCCTTGATATTAACTCACCTTTCCCCATGCTTCATTTCTGCTAGCAAAATTCAATGATAAAGACTACTGCAACACTAACTCTGGCACAAAATCTTGCCACTAATTCCCATTGCTTTTCCTTAAACTCCCAAAGAACTCTTTGCCTCTATTATCTTATTTACTTAATTTCCCCTGTATTATAAGTCTTTTAATCTCCCCCGTAGATTGTGACCTCCTTGAAAGCAAAAAAACAAAAAGAAAACCAAGTTTTCCCCACTTTTTTATCCTTAATCGCCACTCTTAACACCATTTATGTTTATATTTAGAGACTCATTAACATTTGCTAATTAGAATGGAATTCAACACTCACCACACTGTATGATGAATGGGATGGCCTTGGCTTGTCTTCTTTGGTACTGAATAGAATCCAAAGATTTCTCTGCATCCTTATTATTCTGGTATCTGAACTCATTCCAAAACAATGTTAGATTTCTATTACCTAAAAGAAAGAAAGTAGGCAAAGAATAATGAAAGAAAGTGAAATCAACATGATCAAAGGAAGGCTGGGTATAACACAAGTATATACAATATGATCTTAACTGTGTAAAAACTAACATATACAGAAATGAGAAATTAACATATTGATACTGGTTATCTCTAAGCAGCGATATTTTAGATGAAATGTGTTCTAAGTTACACTTTCGTATATTTTCCAAATTACTTGCAATAAACACATACTATCTTTATAATAAAACTAAAGACAAAAGCAGTGATTAAAAAGATACTTTTTATTTAGAAAGTTAAATAAAGCATTGACATTTAAAGAATTATTCTTAAACTTTCCCAGGAAGGACTGTACTAATTAAACTTTAAAGGACACTTTAAAAATTACTGATACAAGAATTCATCAGTTCTATCAAACAGCCAGAGTTTTTTATCTTTATATTATCTCTGGTTCCTTTTCTTAATGATTTTTATTGTTTATGTCCTACCCTAGCCCCAAGTTCTGTATTCCTTATTTGGGTAGAAACATTCACATACAAGACCATTAGATAATCCTTAAAAGACTCATTTTTATCCTTTGATTTAGCAATTATACTGCTAGAAATATACTACAGCAATATACAAATAGCAAAATCTGGAAATTATGTAAAAGCCTATGAATGTAGAACTGATAAATTCCATTCCCAAACAATGGAACACTGGGGAAACTTTCAAAAAGCAGGAAGTAGAACTAAATGCAATATTTCATAAAGATACCATTTTAAATTAAAAAGACACAAACAAGCCCCTACTATAATGTTTATAAATTTATAAAAGAAAATGCATATAAAGTTGTGATGGGTATGCTTATCCTCTCCAGAAGGATAAAAAGGGAGTTTCAATAGTGAATACATTTAGAGGAGAGAAGAGGCTGACAGGAAAGCAAGGGAAAGTACTTTCCTTTTCACCTTTGTGAACACTTTAATATTTTACTCATGTATTACTTTAAAATTTTTTAAAACAATAAACAAAAAGAATCCATGTTTTACTTTTTTATCCTATATGGTAACCAGTAGCAATAGCTATGTAGCTACTGAGCTTTTGAAATGTGGCAGACAGGGCATTTTCATCAATGTACAAACTTCAAAAAGTGTGTTCTGAAATATAAACCTTGGAAAAATATGAAATAGGGCCACCCTTATAGCAACTTTAACTCTTGGCTGTATAATTCATGTAAGACACAAATAAATGACCTCACATCTTACTATTACTATTAAAATTCAGGCTCAGAATACTATGTACTTTTAGTACTAACAGGTGAAGAAATCAGTCATCAAAAGGGACTTTCTCCTTGGGCTGGACTAAAAACAGACCTTACAAATTTCTAGGCTCAGTTTTGCCTCCTCACAAAATGCCTAGTTGCTCTTGGCTGCAATTTTCCCTACAATTCTGCTTTTAGTGTTTTCAATTCAGACTCTGAATTTCTGCTTTGTCCAGTATTTTGTCTTGGTCTGTCTCATAATCTACTTCTCTACACATCAGTCCTCATGCACAGCTCTTTGGAATTAGAAGGATTTATGAGGTTTTGTTTCTATTAACTATTTTGTCTTTATTGGGTGCAGGGAGGAGGTGCTATAGATTAAAAGGATGTGCATATGAGTGTTGGCTTATGGTTTATATTTATATAAACTATATATATATATATACGCACTCTATATAGACACATACAACTAATAACAGTCCCTCAAAATATAGGAAGCAAAAAATCAACAAAATTTGAGTTAATTTTATAATAATAATTGTTGCTTATAATCTCAGCACTCTGGGAAGCTGAGGTAGGAGGATTGCAAATTCAAGCATAGTGTGGGAAATTTAGTGAGAGTAAAAAATTTAGAAAGAGTTGAAGATGTAGTTGAGTGTGAAGGCCAGTAAGTTCAATCCCCTCAGTAGAGCAAAAACAAAAACAAGAAATAAATAAATAAAACAGAAAAACTACCCACTTCATTAAGTTAATGTTTAAAACTAAAAAAATGGAGACTTTGATATTTCACTTTCAATAATGGATAGAAAAAAACAAGTAGAAAATAAGTAAAAGTAAGAAAATAAAGGAATTAAATAAAATAGTGAACCAACCAAATCTAGAAATTAAATCTTGATAGATTTAAACATATTCAATAAACATACAGTAACGTTGGCATCACTGTTATGTGTAATCAATATGAACTTTCTCTCATAGATCAGTTTGTTAGTTTTAATGTAACAAATTTAAATAGAAACAGTTGATAAGATAAACAGCACTGGGTATGATTTCGAGGTTGAAAACATTTTCAAAATAAATCTTTTATTGCATAGTAAAAAGAAGTAAAAAACAAAAATTCAATTCAAAACAGACAAAAAGTTGAGAAAGATATTTCTCCAAAGAATACAAATGGCCAATAAACATATTAAAATATATATTCTGTATCACTAATCGTTAGAGACATGCAAATCAAAATATCAGTGATACTACATCCCATTCAGTAGGATGGCTACTATCAAAGAGCATAGAAAACAGTCTGTCAATGATGGAATGGAGAAATCTGAACCTCTGCACTGCACAGAAAATGTAAAAGGATGCAGACACCATGGAAAAAGAGTGTAGTGCTTCCTCAAAAAAAAATTATTGAATTACCAAGTGGTCCAACAATTCTACTTTTGGATATATACTGTCCTCAAAACAATTTAAAGCAGAATTTCAATCTTCAAAAGAAGATACACAAATGGCCAAACAGTATATATAAAAATGTTCAACATAACTAATCACTGGGGAAATGCAAATCAAAGCCACAATAAGATATAAACTCAAACCTGCTAGAATAACTATTATCAAAAAAGACAAAAATAACAATTGTTAGCAAGGATGTGTAAGAAAGGAAACCTTAACCCTGCTGCTAGGAATGTCCATGCATACAGCCACTATGGAAAATAGGATGGGAGTTCCTCAAGAAATTAAAAACAAAACTACTATATGATCTAGCAATCCCATTTCTAGATGTATATATGAATGAACTTTGAGAACATCATGTTGAATGAAATAAACCAGTTCCAGAAAGACAAATGCTCTATGATTCCATTTACATGAGATAACAGAGTAGCCAAAGACATAGATTCAGAAAACAGAATAATGTTTTTGACCAAGCTCATGGAGAGGAAACAGGAAGTTACTGTTTCACATGTATAGAGTTTCAGTTTTGCAAGATGAAAAAGAGTTCTAAAGATAGATGGTAATCACAGCTGTACCACACTATTACATACTTAATGCCACTGACTTGCACATTTAAAAATGGTGAAGATGGTAAATTTTATGTTATATGTATTTTACCATAATAAAAAATAATTGAAGTGGCAAAATAGAGAGAGCCCTGCAGCAGTTTAAGTTTCTGCTGTACTGTATTTGTTCTCTCTCCAAATGTTTTATCCCCATGAAGACCATACCTTCTCATAGGAGGAGTTGTGCTTTATAATTTACCATATCTTCAACATAGAACTCAACATCCTATACCCAAAAGCTCTAAAAAAAATGCTGCTGCTATTCCTAACAGAATAGCTTATTAATATGTTGTCTGGGGTAAAATGAAGGTGAAATAATGTCTCCCCCAGAAAATATTAACTAGAAAAGTTGATACAGCACAGCTAACTTACAAGATGAATATTCACCATGATCCCCAACACTAACATTTTAAGAGTGGCAAAACTAGTAAACTGTTAAATCCATAAGCACACATTCCTCCAGGGTATTCTTCCTCCCTTCTCTGTGATCATACCACTTTAAACACTTACATATTACACTTTAATTCACTTCCTATTTTCCCCCGCTGATAGTGAGATTCTTGTAGATAGTGACAATGTAAAGGATGTAGCTAAAACATAATGCTTAGAATTTTCTCATGGAACTAACTAACTCTAAAGAATTACTACCTATTAAAGACTGAAATGGAAAATTCACTACCTTAAGCATTTAAAAAAATCAGGTTTAATAAAAGATATGACAATATGCAAGGCAGATATTGGAACAAAGAAATCAAACTGGTTTTCTGGGGAGAGGGACAATTTAGAAATAGTTTCTACTAACTGCCAGTGGAATCTTGATTGTTTTCTTTCAGAGAGAAGCCACTCTAATATGCACAACTTGCATTTGTTGTGGTATTAGAACAAATTTCCATGGCGTGAACTCTGGGGATTGCATAAGTGCTTCCACAAGCTTATAAGATCCTGAGTTCGATCCCCGGTACCAAAAAAAAAACAAAACAAAACAAAGAAAACCCCACAAGCTTATAAGAAAGCTAGAAGGATATTAAATAGAATGAAACACAAGACATGGTGTTACTTTCTTTTATGTATTAGGCAATCTACAGAGACATACACAAGTACTCTGATAGTTTCCTTTTGTGTATTCCAAAATTATAGTGATGACTGACATTAGAAGGTGCATGACTATTGACATTTTCCAAACTGCATCTTCAGAAATAGGCTGAGAGTGTGCTTTTACAAAAATTCTTGTCTAATTTGTTCTGGCAAGAAATAATACAATCACTAATAATAATAATTCATTGTTTTAGTCTGGTGTTCAGAAATAGAATGATATATGAGTATGGCTACTTTTATTTTTATTTATTTATTTTTTCTGGTACCAGAAATTGAACTCAGGACCTTGCACTTGCCAGGCAGGCACTGTGCCACTGAGCTACATCCCTGGTCCTGGATATTTTTAATACATGGCTTTAATAAGTAATATTTGTGTTAATATGCTTTAATTAAAGTTTTAAAACTGCCCATTAGTCTAGATGAGAATGAAGAGTCAAGAGTGAAATTTCAAAATTTAAAAAGTAATTGACTTTAAAAAATGCATCTTAAACATTTCCAGCCACCTATGAAACAAGCCATGCAGATAATCCACAATTTATTGACCTCAAAATTAGATTTTTACTTTAGCATCCCCAAAATAAGCTGATTTAAAAATTCAGTTTACTACTGTAA